AATTAAACAGTAGAATTGATAATATTCACGAGAACATTATTTTTATACGAATCTTAAAATCATCCTGCTTCAAAAGAAGGTTCTAGTCGATCTGTTTCAGTCACTAAAATATGATAGATAGTTGCTTGTAAAAAAACTGGTATTGACATCTTGCATTGGTGTACTGGTATCTTTGGTTTTAATCACCATTTTTTATTATTCTGGAAGCATGACATTTACAGCAACCAAAATTATCAGGATGTGAAGTCATGTATGTTGATAGTGCATGTGATACACCTTAACAAAATGGCTGTTCTGAAATACATAATGGCTGTTCTGAAATACATAATGGCTGTTCTGAAATACATAACGGTCTGGAACAAAACTCCAGCAATAAGGTTCATTTCTTTTTCATTCTACCTTTTTTTTATAGTTTGGTAAAGTCATGGTGACCTTAGTTTGGTAAGGTCATGGTGACCATAGTTTGATGTTAGTTTGGTAAGGTCATGGTGACCTTAGTTTGGTGAGGTCATGGTGACCATAGTTTGGTGAGGTCATGGTCACCTTAGTTTGGTAAGGTCATGGTCACCTTAGTTTGGTAAGGTCATGGTGACCATAGTTTGGTAAGGTCATGGTCACCTTAGTTTGGTAAGGTCATGGTGACCATAGTTTGGTGAGGTCATGGTGACCTTAGTTTGGTGAGGTCATGATGACCTTAGTTTGGTGAGGTCATGGTCACCTTAGTTTGGTGAGGTCATTAGTTTGGTAAGGTCATGGTGACCATAGGATCTTGGTAGTACTAATGATTTTATACTTCTTGTAATTATAGTTTTGGTTGGTTTCAGTTAACATTTTTTTCTTTTTTAAGATTGAGAAGTACTTTGGATTTTTGATCATGTCGTTCAATGCAATGACAATGTTAATGTGTGGAAACATCAGTGAAAATAGTCCCGTGAACTGTAGGGAAACCATGTCAGTGTGTCACATTTTTATTATCTGTATTTTTTTCTTTACAATTACAAATTTTTTCTTCCAATTCAAGTTCGCATATGGCCATCTTATTGTTGTACTGTATTAGAGATACTAAGTAAGCAATAATCAACAAGTAATTGTAGCATGAGTTACTCCCCTTCATAGAGATCAGGGTTAACTCTTGACATTGGGTAGGATATCCTGTTGGAAATGCTCATATCTGGGTCTAGTATATGCAAGAATAGAATATTATTATCATTAACGTGAAGAAGTAATTTTATAAAGTACTTGTTACATTACCAAATGCTTTAAGCAAGCATATACTTTTATTGTCTTTAGACTTTATTAGTACTAAAACATATATTGAGTTAATATGTTGGCACCTGTAAATAGCTTTTAACGTCTGCAGAAAGTTTGAAATGGTTCTTTAAGTGTAGGAAACTTGTAACAAGTACATTGCTTATGTTCAGACTCAATATAGCTGTGGAATCAATCGGAGCAATAGACTTTTTATGTTCACTAAATTAACAAAAACATGTAATGTTTTTTCAAGGCAGTGTTACGCTTGAGTTAAGAGCATCAGGTTCAGCGTTTTGTAGGTATTGGTGGTGTCTTGTGTCCTTGACCTAACAGACTTGAGGTAAGACCACAAGGTGCAGGTTTTGGTAGATCTTGGTGATGTCTTGTGTCCTTGACCTAACAGATTTGAGGTAAGACCATCAGGTGCAGCTTTTGGTAGGTCTTTAGGGTACTTTGTGTGTGTGAACGTACACAAAAGAGTATGCTTCACTTTGTTATGTTTATGGCAGTCAGTGTTTTAGTATAGTGATTTGTTTAGTATATATTTTATTATAGAGCATCATATTTTCTACCTGAATTTTTCAGCAACTTCTATCAATGTATAAATTTGGAAAATATTGGTAATATTTTTGAGAAATTGGAAAGATAGACCTGATTTTTTCTGCTTTTCAGCTATGAGAAACATGTGTATAAACCTCTACACATTGTAGTGTTTTGGAAAAGTAGATATTGTAAACCATTATTTACCTCTGTTGTTTAAATTATCAAGGTTTTAGCGAAAACTTGATGCAGAAGGGATGATCTTCTCAAAGAAATTATGTAATTGACTATGTTTTTCTTCTTATTTTTCTTTGTGTCTATTGCACATTGACAAAATGACAATACCACAATAACTGAATTTGCACAAGGCATTCATTTTACCCTAATATGGTAGGGACGTCGTCAGAATCTACCGATAACACAAGCACCAATATGGTAGGGACGTCGTCAGAATCTACCTTCAGCACTAGCACCAATATGGTAGGGACGTAGTCAGAACCTACCATCAGCACTAGCACTAATATGGTAGGGACATAGTCAGAACCTACCATCAGTACTTGCACCTGTTTATATGGTAGGGATGTTGTCAGAATCTACCATCAGCACTAGCACCTGTATGGTAGGGACCATTAGCACGATTTTGAAGGGCTATGACCAGATATTATTTTTTTCCTTATATGAAAGAGACCATATATAGGTATAACTAATTTTGGTCAATTCCCAACAAGCCATATTGATGTCAACAGGTCATAGAATGCAGCAAAGCAAAATGTATTGAGGTAGAACCCTTGAATTTCCAAAAAAATTATGAAACAAGTAGAATAGATATTTGGAATATTGATGGTTTAATTGAAAAATCCAATAATTGATTGACTTACTGTTCTTGTGTTGAATGACAATATATAGAGCATTAATGGACAGGATGTAATGACTTTGGTAACAATATGTGAACAATTAATCATTAATTCCACAATTTTGACCATAGCTGATTTTATTGGAAATTTATTGGCTGTGTTGCCATAACGACCATGATACGAAGTTGACTTGGCTAAATGTAAGTAATGTAGTATAGAGGAAGGTTTATCACTGATGTGGTGGACAGTTGCTCAGATTGCACTGCTTCTTGATTGCCATCCATTAGGGTATTGATGGTGTATGATTATTGGTCAAGTGACAAGGCAGATTGGCATGATTCCTGGACACAGACGTCCTGTCCCCTGTGTCTGTCCTTTCTGTATAAAATATATAATAAGACTTCTCGCTGGATGATTGAATCAACAGGGTTCTGATGTAGACTTTCATTTGGTCATCAGAACATCCGCTTTTGGTATTGTGGTTGCTATGGCATTGTCCTACTTTAGACAGTCATGATTCAATAAGTATGATTAAATGTTGAAGATCATTTCCAGATTATTGAGTCATAAACTGTATTAAAAATGAATGAATGCTTTTCAACATCTTGTATTGAAATTCATTCATCTCGGAGTCTGTGAACTATAAATCTGCCCTGGTATTTAAAATTTATAGGAAAAAAATGTTATTAGACAAGTCTAGAAATAAAATACAGGACCTTATAAAGTAATACACATAAAGAAATGTGTCCTGGACTTTTATCAGATTGTGGGCTACTCAAATTACTCTGTGTCCATGGTCTGTCCATCTGTCCATCCATTCATAAACAGTTTTTGTTATCACTATTTCTTGAGAAGTCCTTGATGGATATTTTTCAAATTTCATAGGTAGGTTTCCCTTGGCCTCTAATTGTGCCAATGTAATTTTGGGACTGATAAGAAAAACCAAATGGTGGACAGGTGGCTGTCTGGGATTTTGACTTTGCAAGTTTGTTATTGCTAATTTTGCCTAGTAAAGATTTTCTTGTGAAGTACTAAATCAGTCTCATGATAATCTGGTCACATAAATATATAAGTAGGTGTCACCTTTATAAGTAGTGGATTATTAAGTCACATTTTTATGTAGTGAATAATCCAGTCACTTTTTTTCTCGGTAGATAATAAAGTCAGGTTTTTATGTAGTGTGTAATTCAGTCACTTTTTTTCTCGGTAGATAATAGTCACCTTTTTATGAAGTATGTAATTCAGTCACTTTTTTTCTTGGTAGATAATAAAGTCACCTTTTTATGTAGTATGTAATCCAGTCACTTTTGTTCTCAGTAGATAATAAAGTCACCTTTTTATGTAGTAGATAATCCAGTCACTTTTTTTCTCGGTAGATAATAAAGTCACGTTTTTATGTAGTGTGTAATTCAGTCACTTTTTTTCTCGGTAGATAATAGTCACCTTTTTATGTAGTATGTAATTCAGTCACTTTTTTTCTCGGTAGATAATAAAGTCACCTTTTTATGTAGTATGTAATCCAGTCACTTTTGTTCTCAGTAGATAATAAAGTCACATTTTTATGTAGTAGATAATCCAGTCACTTTTTTTCTCAATAGATAATAAAGTCACGTTTTTATGTAGTGTGTAATTCAGTCACTTTTTTTCACAGTAGATAATAAAGTCACATTTTTATGTAGTGTGTAATTCAGTCACTTTTTTCTCGGTAGATAATCCATTCATCTGTTTTAGTAGTAGGTAATCCAGACACCTCTTTGCTTGATAGATAATATAGACACCTTTGTTTTCTGCAGATAATCCAGTCACCTTTGTTTTCTGCAGATAATCCAGTCACCTTTGTTTTCAGTAGATAATCCAGTCACCTTTGTTTTCAGTAGGTAATCCAGTCACCTTTGTTTTCAGTAGGTAATCCAGTCACCTTTGTTTTCAGTAGGTAATCCAGTCACCTTTGTTTTCAGTAGGTAATCCAGACACCTTTGTTGTCAGTAGGTAATCCAGTCACCTTTGTTTTCAGTAGGTAATCCAGACACCTTTGTTTTCAGTAGGTAATCCAGTCACCTTTGTTTTCAGTAGATAATCCAGTCACCTTTGTTTTCAGTAGGTAATCCAGACACCTCTTTATTCTTAATAGATAAGTCCAGACACCTTTGTTCTCAGTAGGTTTTACTCAGTAGATTTTCTATTTGCCAGTTGTCCCTAGTAGGTAATGCAGTTTCCTGAATGTTCCCAGGAAGTAATCAAATCACCTTTTAAACTTTTTTTTAAATGATTCTTTTTTAATATGGGAAGTTTATGATCATTTAAACATGTTTTTGTTCTAAACAAGAAATTTGATTAAAACTCTTTGTTTTCTAGATCGGCCATTGACACAACAACACCCAAAAGGGAACGTGTGGCGATTAAGAAGATCTCACCATTTGAGCATCAGACATATTGTCAGCGGACACTGAGAGAAATAAAAATTCTTACTAGATTTAGACATGAAAATGTGAGTATGATTTAATGTTAATGGATGTCCGTAGTATTAACATCTTTTATAGTCTCAATTAAATGGTTTAGGTCTGTATTAATACTGGTTGGTCCTTTCAATTCTCTTTAATGGTTTAAGTCTGTATTAATACTTGTTTGTCCTTTCAATTCTGTTTAATGGTTTAGGTCTGTATTAATACTTGTTTGTCCTTTCAATTCTCTGTAATGGTTTAGGTCTGTATTAATACTTGTTTGTCCTTTTAATTCTCTTTAATGGTTTATGTCTGTATTAATACTTGTTTGTCCTTTTAATTCTCTTTAATGGTTTAGGTCAGTATTAATACTTGTATTAATACTTATTAATACTTGTTTGTCCTTTCAATTCTCTTTAATGGTTTAGGTCTGTATTTATACTTGTTTATCCTTTCAATTCTCTTTAATGGTTTATGTCTGTATTAATACTTGTTTGTCCTTTCAATTCTGTTAAATGGTTTAGGTCTGTATTAAGACTTGTTTGTCCTTTCAATTCTGTTAAATGGTTTAGGTCTGTATTAAGACTTGTTTGTCCTTTCAATTCTGTTAAATGGTTTAGGTCTGTATTAAGACTTGTTTGTCCTTTCAATTCTCTTTAATGGTTTAGGTCTGTATTAATACTTGTTTGTCCTTTCAATTCTCTTTAATGGTTTAGGTCTGTATTAATACTTGTTTGTCCTTTCAATTCTCTTTAATGGTTTAGGTCTGTATTAATACTTGTTTGTCCTTTCAATTCTCTTTAATGGTTTAGGTCTGTATTAATACTTGTTTGTCCTTTCAATTATGTTAAATGGTTTAGGTCTGTATTAATACTTGTTTGTCCTTTCAATTCTGTTAAATGGTTTAGGTCTGTATTAATACTTGTTTGTCCTTTCAATTATGTTAAATGGTTTAGGTCTGTATTAATACTTGTTTGTCCTTTCAATTCTGTTAAATGGTTTAGGTCTGTATTAATGCTTGTTTGTCCTTTCAATTCTGTTAAATGGTTTAAGTCTGTATTAATACTTGTTTGTCCTTTCAATTCTCTTTAATGGTTTAGGTCTGTATTAATACTTGTTTGTCCTTTCAATTCTGTTAAATGGTTTAGGTCTGTATTAAGACTTGTTTGTCCTTTCAATTCTGTTAAATGGTTTAGGTCTGTATTAATACTTGTTTGTCCTTTCAATTCTGTTAAATGGTTTAGGTCTGTATTAAGACTTGTTTGTCCTTTCAATTCTGTTAAATGGTTTAGGTCTGTATTAATACTTGTTTGTCCTTTCAATTCTCTTTAATGGTTTAGGTCTGTATTAATACTTGTTTGTCCTTTCAATTCTCTTTAATGGTTTAGGTCTGTATTAATACTTGTTTGTCCTTTCAATTCTGTTAAATGGTTTAGGTCTGTATTAATACTTGTTTGTCCTTTCAATTCTGTTAAATGGTTTAGGTCTGTATTAATACTTGTTTGTCCTTTCAATTCTGTTAAATGGTTTAGGTCTGTATTAAGACTTGTTTGTCCTTTCAATTCTGTTAAATGGTTTAAGTCTGTATTAATACTTGTTTGTCCTTTCAATTCTGTTAAATGGTTTAGGTCTGTATTAATACTTGTTTGTCCTTTCAATTCTGTTTAATGGTTTAGGTCTGTATTAATGCTTGTTTGTCCTTTCTATTCTGTTTAATGGTTTAGGTCTGTATTAATGACCTTTTAATCTCAGAGCACAGTAGGCTGTTGTAAACATCCGTCATGGCTTTGTAGTAACTGTGAAAGTCCAGAAGGTATTACTGTGATTCATATCAAAAGGTATAATTAATTAAATACAGGAAAATGCTGTTTTTATTTCAATCTTCAAATCATCCTCTATACGATTGCAAATAACGGATCAAGATGATCTGTTTCAGTCACAAGCATGTGACGGGCAGGTACTCATGAAAAAAACTCAGGACTGTCTCGTATGGGTGAACACATAGCATGCCCATTTCACGAATTGGAATTTTGATTCGGAATTGGCTATATTTAGAGTTGATTGATTGACATTCCAGACGGATTTGTACAAATGTAACTTTTATTATTGATGCCATCCAGAGAATCATCTGCACACTAAAGCAAGTAAAAAAATTTATGCTGGAAGCATTTCAAGAAATTAAACTTTAAAAAATTAATTTTAGAATCATGAATCTGAATTATAAGGAATCCAAGATTTGTTGTAAATGTTCAGAACATTGACAACATTATCTTATAATTAAGTTCAGATAAATTTTGCTTTAAAACCCTTTTCTCCTGAATGCCTCGGCAAATTTTAACCAAATTTGGTCTGAAAAATCATTAAGGGTGGGCAGTCATTATATAAATTCAGAAAGTTGATTTGACCCTGATGGGGTGGGCCACCAAATTTGGAACTGAGCAAAAATTTTGCTTTCCAATGACAGTATTCCTACATGTCCCTAGTAGATTTTAACTGAATGTTGTTTGGTATGATGATGATTTCTGAAATGAAGGATTTGATTGTCAGATGACTGTGAAGACTAGTGGTATTTTGTTTACTGGAAATGACCAGTACCGTAGTTTCCTGAGAAGACCTTAGGGACCAGAATGTTACCTTTTACTTAAATGTAGAAGAATATGATTATTACTGGATGATGCTGCTGCCTTTGTTGACTTTTGTAGACTTTAATTTAGTTAATATAGCATTACCAGGTATAGACTTACCACGAGATAATTACAATACTAAAGATGACTGAGTATATGGTATAGATTTCATTATCATCGGTTCAAAGAGAGATAAATTACATTATTGAAATTCATTACAAAAAACAGTCTTACACAGGAAACAAATTGAGATTGCTTTGGCCGATATGTGTATTCATATAGGGATTGTTGATTTGGCTGAGAAATGTGAAATCTCATTAACTTCTAGTGACAGGGAAGGTTTGAGATTGTTTTATCACCAAGACCATGAAGTGAGATAGAACAACATGAAAAGTCATCAGTTAAAAAAGGATGTGAGATATTTGAATAACATAACAAGCCACAATTAAAAGAAGAGCATCAAATGGAACAGCCATGTCATAAGAAACAAGGAGGGAAATAGATCATTAGATCATAGGGGATGTAATGGAACAGCCATGTCATAAGAAACAAGGAGGGAAATAAGTCATTAGATCATAGGGGGTGTAATGGAACAGCCATGTTATTAGGAAAAAGGAACAACAGAACAGAGGGGGTGAAATGGTAGACCATGTCAGCAACAAGGAGTGAAATGGAACAACAGAACAGGGGGTGAAATGGAACAACAGAACAGGGGGTGAAATTGTACATCATGTCATCAGCAACAAGGGTTGAAATGGAACAACAGAACAAGGGGTGAAATGGAACAACAGAACAGGGGGTGAAATGGAGCAACAGAAGAGAGTGGGTGAAATTATACATCATGTCATCAGCAACAAGGGTTGAAATGGAACAACAAAACGGGGTGAAATGGAACAACAGTACAGGGGGTGAAATGGAACAACAGAACAGAGTGGGTGAAATGGTACACCATGTAATTAGCAACAAGGGTTGAAATGAAACAACAGAACAGAGGGGGTGAAATGGAAAACATGAAGGGAAATGGAACATTAGAATGCAAAGGGTGAAATGGAACAGCCATGTTTGTAAAATTTTCTTTTAAAACTAGATTGTTCAATCCAATAGAGTATTATCAAGGGGAGGTAATTAAATATTGTGTCAATTAAAACAAGACAACAATATCATTATAAACTAGACTCTGCCATAAAAAAAACTGTTAAATCTGTACAATGTTGCATTGAAGAAAAAGGAGTAAATAAAACAATCTTTTCATTTAAAAACAGAAATTAAACAATGTTTCCTTCAAAAAATAAACAATCCTTTGAAACTGAACTCAATTTTTATCTAAAAATATAATTTGATTAAACAATGACTAAATATATTACCTCCTTCCATGAGAGATCCTGGTCTTGATACATGCTTTATAAAGCTGCACATAGAATATGTTGTTTTGTATGTATTATGTGTAGTATAAAGAGCTACTCTGTAGTACACAATAACTATCTGCAGATTTACAAATTAATGGCCAGGTTCATACTGGTGTAGAATGTTAGGCTATCCCACCTCTGGTATTAAAACATAGTAATTAATCACTAAATATAACTGATACTTTAGATAATAAATAACGAGCAAGAACTGATAAGGGAGAGATCTTCGGTAATATGTAACGGTGAAGGAATGATGATATGTTTACATGTAATAATTGTAGGAGGAAGGAGGGTGGGCAAGTATTGGGTTCCAGAATAACATGCTAGAGGTACAGGGGCGAAGGAATACCTGATATTTGCGATACACTGAGAGCAGGAGAGTTGGGATATTCTCAATCAATTGTGAAGATTATTTTCTGTAGATAGCCTGATATAACTCATCAATATGGTATGCATTCCTCAGCTCAGGAATGGCTGTCTGAAAAACAAAACGGGCAATACTGTAATGATTGTCAACAATGCATCATGCAAACTTTGAACATGTTGATAAATTTAATCTTAAGATCCTTATAGATAATGCTTGTATATACATCTATGTACTGGAGTATCTAGTGGTAGAGTTTCCTTGTGTTGATAAGCTTTCTCTTTCTGATAACAACAGCTTGTGTATGTGATGTGCTTGGTGGAGATTTTGTTATGAAATTGGTTCAACATGAAACATTTGTGTAACATACAAAAAAGCATAGATCTTGGTGAGCAAACACGAAGTTGTCAGTTGGTGTTGATGATGCTGACAGCAGGAGAGTAAAATACAGACCACATGACGTATCTGAAATGATGTAGATCAGTGCAAAGCCTGCCATCATTGTCTTGTGTAATTTCAAACAGATTTTCATAGGTTGGTAAAGCTGTTCACTTTTGTCCAATGCTTCTGTCTGAACTCTGAGGAAAGATTGACTGGATCAATGAGAAGAAGTTAGGTTACAACTTTGACCGTCTTTCTTTACTTTCTGCTTA